AGCAAGGAGGACTATGTGCTGCCTTCAAAGAAAAGTGCTGCTTCTACGCCGACCACTCTGGAGTGGTCAAGGATTCCCTAGCTAGGCTTAGAGAAGGGCTAGAAAAGAGCAATAAACCATGCAAAGCTAATAGTAATTGGTTCTAAAGCTGGCTTTCAAGTTTCCCGTGACTCACCACCCTGCTGTCCTCCCTGCTGGGCCCCCTTAGCCACTTTCATCTTGGGACCTTATGCCATTCATCAGGTTGTGTCCCCTGCAAGGCACAACACCACTTCTGTCATAATGTTCATCCAGGTGGTAGAAGAGGTGGCCCATAATGAAAGCCCTGAAAACCCTTGGGTCAATATGGCCCTTCAAGCAACGTCAATCTCTAAGGCTCTGCCCCACCCCCACTTGGCTGGATAGTCAATGATGGGTAAGATTTCCAGAGGGAAACAACCTAAGACAGGCACGCCCACCAGAGGGAATGGAGGCAAGGCTGGGAAGGTTAGCCACCTCCAGCTGCCTTATTAAACCAGAAAGGGGGAGATGTTGGGCCTTTAAAAAATTAACACCACCTTAAAGTGACATTACAAGTGGATTAACGTGGCAGCCTAAGATGCCGCTGGAAGAAGCAGGGTGGGAGTGTCTGCAGGAACCTTGCCTTAGCCCTTATTGGCCGCACTTGTGAACACTGCGTAATTGCAATAGCTAGGTATTGAGACAGGATGCATGCCCTTAACCCTTAAGCTGATTGGAGGATGTAGAAAACCTCCCTTTGCTATTTACCTTTAAAAGCCAATGCTTGTGTGTTAATAAACGGAACTGCTTGACAGAACCCCCACCGCGTCTGAGTGTCCTTTAACTGGGCTGGTTTGGGGCCGGTGGTGTGCTCACCTCTCTTCTCAGCTCTCTTCCCCTGTCTCCTTCAAAAGGGGACCGGAGGGAAAGAGGAATCCCGGGCCGTTCACTCGCCCACTGAAAGGAACAAGGCTAGGGCTGTATGGGTCGGCTGCTGGCGGTGGACCTGACACTGAGGTGATCCTCAAGTTGGAGAAAGGAGCAGAGCCATGGAGTATAGAAGAACACCCAAACCAGAAAATCCCAGGTTAGTAAGCACATCCTGGGTAGAGGCCAGGAAGAGCAAAACCCAGCAAATCTTTGCTGTGTTCTGCTGTTTCTGGTCATATTTTTACAGTACCTGAGCTGAGGCTAGCTCATCTCCTTGCATCAGACACACATATTATATAATCACTTAGATGTACCCACACATATATATCTCCATATTTTATTTTGCTGTTTTTTAAAAATGTATTTTCCTAAAATATAATCCCTTCATTTTTCTTTGACATTTATTTTTGCTATTCACTTTTTCAATATTCTCAGTTGCCTTCGTGTCCTGCATTTTCAAGGACATGGTTTTTCAGACTCTGTCCTTTTGTGTTACTTAGAATACCCGAAACTGGGTAATTTATGAAGAAACAAACTCTATCTCTTACTGTTCTGTTCTGGAGACTGAGTATTCCAAGGTCTAGGGGCTGCATGTAGTAAGAGCCTTGTTTCTGGTGGGGATCATGGCAGAATCCCAAAGTAATGCAGGGTATCACATAGGAAATTGATATGAAAATAAGAAAAGAGGTCCAGATATGAGCCTTCCATACCACCACATCAGAAATTATGGAGCTGAGGCAGAACTAGCATAGGTCATGGAAAAGGAGAGTTCTTGACTTTATAGAAGAACCATGAGACTCATGGTATCAAGGTCAAGTGAACCAAGGGTTCCAAGTTGAGGGACTGGGATTGCTGGTTGGAAGTGGAATTTGAAGTTAGTTTTTTCTCCTCTCTTTGTAGAAATCATTCTAAAACAACAAAGAAACTTAGAAATGTACAGGAGACTCTATTTTTTATGAGAGCAGTAGCCATCCAAAACTCCAGTGCATAATACTAAAGCTTTCATGAGCAGTGAATTTTCAAGAGGGAGAGTGTGTTCCCGAGATTGGGAAGATAATACAGGTTGACGTTATAAGGAGTCAAAAACACCGTTATCAAAGATGGTGGGCACAGCCTTGGTTGCAGAACCAAATATTTTAGACCAGCCAGAAAGGGGTGTCTGGAGGGGTGGACTGAAGTTTCCTGTATAGAAATGGTTTTGAGAAGCACAGGAAGTCAGTTTATACGAGCAATTTGTGGGAGGCTCTGTTTATGGTGAGAAAAAGGAGACTTTATTATGTGGAAAATTTCCACATGCCTATATACATTTCCTAGAGAAGAGTAAAAATTATAGAATCACTAATGCAAAATTCTTAACCTAAGTTATTTCATACATATGTGATGAAAAATTGGATCATTCTGCTCCTTTCCTGAAAGTAGCCAATCAAAGAAAACCTAGCCATATTCAAACCAGAAGAACGTGGAAAAGAGCAGCGGGAGATAACCACTATTGTTATAAAAATAAAACAGTAAAAACTGTAAACAAATGGAAGGTGATAAGCAATTATTTGAAATCTACAATCAGGAAGAAGGTAAAAATTATCAAATATTTCATCATGATTTAAAAAAGAAAAATTGAATAAATAAGCAAAACATTACTGACATAATGTTAGAAAATATATTAATACAGCATAACCTTATGTCAGTACAAAGAAAACCTTTATAGTCCTAAAACGAATGTCCATTGTTGATTTTTATTAACTCTTTTATTACTAGGGTTGGTAGAGACTTCTCTACCTTTACACAAGCAGGCAATAAATTATGCTTATGTGTGGTTCGTGGATATGTTTTTTTTTTTTTAATAACTTCAGACATCCAGATAGTAAATGACTTTATTGAGAGGAGCCAAGAAAGTCATGATAGATACTTGTGGAAAGGAGTGTTCATCAATGGCAACCGATCAACTGAAGAGAGAGCAGAGTTAGGAAAATCATTTGAGTTCAAAGCATATTTTAATTCGGGTTACAAATAATGGAAACTATTCAGGAGTGGGGCATGAGGAGCTTAATGTATGTGAGAATGCACTTCCTCCAGAGACTGATGCCATGCATGCTGGAGGGAAACCTGATGAGCATAATATATCTGATAAATCACAGAGAGATCAGAAGCATCTTAGTCAGCATCCCAAGATTCCAACTGGGCAACCTTTTGAATATAGTGGAAAAGGACAATCCTCCAACACAGTGCCAATAATATTTGCATGTAAGAAGATTCATGTGGGTGAGACCATCTGTAAATATATTGAATATGGGAAAGACTGTAAGAAGTCAGCTGTCATTGCTCAAGAAATATCTCAGGTAGAGAAGAAAACTTTTCAATGTGGTGTATGCAGGAAAATGTTCTATAAAAATGCCAAACTTACTAAACATCAGGTTATACACACAGGAGAGAAACATGATAAATAGTGAATGTCAGAAATCTTTTATTAAGAAATCATACTTATATCTTCTACAGGGAAGAAGCTTTATCCATGTATTGAACAGGAAGAACTTTTCTATCAGAAGTCAGACTTTACTGTGTGTCACAGAATTCACACAGGGGAAATGTCTTATGGATTTACTACTTGCGGCAAAAACTTTTATGAGAATTTGCTTCTGAGCTGTCATCAGGCAATTCACACAAGTGAAAAATCATGTGAATATAATGGATGTAGAAAATCTTTCTATGATAATTCTGCCCTAATGTATATCAGAGAATTCACATGATGATCCATATGAATGTGAAGAAAGTCAAATTTTCTCCAGAAAGTCAAAACTCAAGAAACATGAGAGAATTCACATTGGTGAGAAACCCTTTGACTGTAACACATGTGGAAAAACCTTTCACCAGAATCCAAACTTCAGGAAGCATAAGAGAATTCATAAGGAGTGTGGAAAAGGTTTTAACCAAAAGTCAAACTGGAAGAGACATCAGAAAATTCACACCGGTGAGTATGCATATGAATGTAAAGAATGTGGGAAAGGTTTTAACCAAAAGTCAGCCCTCAACAAGCATCAGAGAATTCACAAAGGTAAGACAGCATTTGAATGTAAGGAGTGTGGAAAAGCTTTCAACCAAAAGTCTGCCTTCACTGTGCATCCGAGAACTCACCTGAAAGAAACTGAGCTGAAAGGCTGAGTACCAATCAAGCTGTATTAAAGGAAAAGAATCTCCTGGTCTGCACCCAAAATGGAGGAAGCTCCAGGCCTGGGGGTGGGAGAGCTTCTTTAGACTGTAGGGCAGCAAGGGCTGCTTGAAGCAGTCAAGGAGGGGCATTGTGAGGGAGGGGCATTGCACCCATGTGGAAGCAAAAAGAGTTTCTTTTTTTTTTTCATTAAATTTTTATTTTGTCAATATACAACGTATATGATTATTATGGCCCAACACCGACACCTCCCTCCCTCCTCGTTCTCTCCCCTCCCCCCCAAGAATGTCCTTTCTGTTTGCTTGTTGTAACAACTTCAAAAAAGTATAGTTGTTATATCTTCATCCGATAGCTGGGTCATATGGTAGATCTATCTGCAACTGTTTGAGGAATCTCCATACCATTTTCCATAGAGGCTGCACCATTTTGCAGTCCCACCAACAATGTCTTGCATCCTCTCTAATTTCTCTCAGCAGTGGTTTGTAGTTCTCGTTATAGAGATTTTTCACATCCTTGGTTAGCTCAATTCCTAGGTATTTTATTTTTTGGTGGCTATTGTAAATGGGCAGGCTTTCTTGATTTCTCTTTCTGCATGTTCACTATTGGTGAATAGAAATGCTACCGATTTTTGGATAGCTGGGTCATATGGTAGATCTATCTGCAACTGTTTGAGGAATCTCCATACCATTTTCCATAGAGGCTGCACCATTTTGCAGTCCCACCAACAATGTCTTGCATCCTCTCTAATTTCTCTCAGCAGTGGTTTGTAGTTCTCGTTATAGAGATTTTTCACATCCTTGGTTAGCTCAATTCCTAGGTATTTTATTTTTTGGTGGCTATTGTAAATGGGCAGGCTTTCTTGATTTCTCTTTCTGCATGTTCACTATTGGTGAATAGAAATGCTACCGATTTTTGGATAGCTGGGTCATATGGTAGATCTATCTGCAACTGTTTGAGGAATCTCCATACCATTTTCCATAGAGGCTGCACCATTTTGCAGTCCCACCAACAATGTCTTGCATCCTCTCTAATTTCTCTCAGCAGTGGTTTGTAGTTCTCGTTATAGAGATTTTTCACATCCTTGGTTAGCTCAATTCCTAGGTATTTTATTTTTTGGTGGCTATTGTAAATGGGCAGGCTTTCTTGATTTCTCTTTCTGCATGTTCACTATTGGTGAATAGAAATGCTACCGATTTTTGTGTGTTGATTTTGTATCCTGCTACTGTGCTGAACTCATTTATCACCTCCAAGAGTTTTTCTGTAGATACTTTAGGCTGTTCGATATATAGGATCATGTCATCTGTAAACAGAGGCATTGCACCCACGTGGAAGCAAAAAGAGTTTCTATTTTGCGGAAGTCATCAGGCTTCTGTAAAGGGAAGGGGGGTGGGGTTGGGGGCCATTTTGTCCTTGGCCTTGCCTAAAATGGCACCAGTAACATCCAAGATGGTGCCAGTCACATCCAAGATCCATCGTCACCCAGGTGAGAAGCCCTACAAATTTAAAAGATGTGGAAAAACATTTAACAACAAGTCATCCTTCAGGATGCATCAGATTACTCACACAGGGGAAAAAACCTTTGAATATAAAGAATGTTGAAAAGCTTTTAACAAAAATTCACACCTCAGCAGGCATCAGAGAATACACACCGGTGAGAAACTATATGAATGTAAAGAATGTGGAAAAGCTGTTAAGCAAAAGTCAGCCGTCAGCATGCATCAGAAGATTCACACAGGTGAGAAGCCCTGTGAATGTAGTGAACCCCTATTGATATAAAAATTTTCTGATGCTCAAATGCCTTGTATAAATGGTGTAGTGGTTGTGTATTACCAATTCCCTTCCTGCCGTGTACTTTACACCTTGTGTAGATTACTTATAATACTGCAAAAATGTGAATACTATGTAAATAGTTGTTCTACTGTGTTGCTTTTCAGTTGTAGAATTGTTTCATTTATCGTTTTTATTTATTTTTGAGGATATTTGATATGTAGTTGATTGAATCACCAGGTGTGTAACCCTCAGATATGGAAGGAGGACTATAATGAGTGTGAAAACATCTTTTCTCCAAATTCTCAAGGCTGGCTATGGTTAGAGCATTGTTGTTTATAACATTGTGCTCATAACACAAAGGATCCCTATAGTAGCCACTCACCAAAAAATAAATAAAAATAAAAAAGGAATCATATCATAGCAGGCATTAGAGGATTTACACAGATATTCTGTATGGATTAGACTATTTTTTAAAAAAATAAAACCACTCTTTTGTATGCAAGGCCTGCAATCTGAGTGTTCTGTGATTGGGTGGATGACCAGGTAATTTAACTCTGTTCTGGGGAATGTAGATATAAGTGATGAACATTACTTCCAGTTCAGGCACCAAAATAAAAGAAAATTTCCAAGCAGTTGTTCCTGATTTCTTATGTTCTCTTGGACTGAATGAAGACAACTCTTGGGTGGAGTTGGGGGCTGCAGGTGGGACAAATCCACCTAATTTAAAATAGAAAGAATTAAAGAAGCCACAGATATTCTCACCACTATCCCAAAACCTCCATTAATACATTATATAAGAAATTATTTTCTTGTTGAGCCATTGTGTGTGTGCTCAGTTTCCATTACAACACAACCAGCCCACTCCAGCTGAATGATTTTATAAACTTTCTGAGAGAAGTTACCAGTCCTTGTATATGGGAAGAGAATCCTGTGTTGTCACCTTTTATACCCAAGTCAGTTTATGGGAAAAATCAAATTATGGGGAGAAACAATGCAGTAAATATGGGATATCATATTGGGATATCTCATTGAACCATGAAAATAAAGTTAAATATCTTTCTAAATCTCTTTAATGTGTCAAAGCTTTCAAGTAAACTTTCAACATTTTTTAGGTCAGCATTTGAAATGAAGAGAAAAGTAACAAACAATTACAAAAATGTAATGAATGTAAATTCTCAAATAGAAATGATAAATGGAGCATTAAAAATATTTTTAACATTTTGAGTGTTACCAATATTTAAATATGACTGGTGACACTGCCTGCCAGGGGACATTTGGCTTTGTCTGAAGACATTTTTGGTTGTCATAACTGAAGGTTGGGAGGTGATACTCCATTGAGTGGGAAGAAGACAGACATTGATAAACAGCCTGCAATGCACAAAAAGTCACCTCATATATGCAACATTTATGCATAAAACTGTTCTTTGTTAAAAATTTATCTTAATGAAACCCAGCGTAACTGTGGGTAGGTAATATGTACACTTAGTATACTAAATACATTTAACTTACTTCAGGATTTTTGACATCAACTACCACTCTATCTTCTGTATATTTTATTAAATATATTAAGTCTAAAGTACTGCACTACATAGGCTTTTTCCTACTCTCCTATTTTAGTTCAATTTGTATGACCAGCATTTCAAAACTAAGTGAAGGTAATTTTTTCTAAGGTTTGAAGCTAATGCAGAGCCAGTCAGTGGGTTGAATAGAAACATTTGTATGGGAATGCACAAGTCAGGCACATAATAGTAAACAACTTGTCTGAACTCATGTAAACAGCTGTAGACAGGTGTAGTATTTTTGTCCTACTCAGGGAAAGCAGTGTCTGGAAGGAATACTCATCCTGTATTCCTATTCCTCATATTTTTAAATTGGGCCAAATCATAGGTATGAGTGTGTACTACATGCCCAGTAGCTGAGAAATCTCTTGCATTTCTATTTACAGTGATGGAGTGCTATTTTGTATCTTGCCACTAAGAGGTAAATCCTGGCTCCACTTGTGTATTGCGCATGGCCGTGCTTGTGTATAGACCTCCAGAACTAGAGATGGCCCCAGAGCCTGTTTTCACCCAAGGAGTCTTCTAGATTTTGTGGTGACTCCATGTCTGTGCTCAGAGCCCTTGAGGTGGGGGAGACCCAGGCCCAAAGGATGGGTATGAGCAAGTAAGACAAAAAGGTGCCCATCATAGAACCTGAGGGGTGTGGTTGGAGGCAGGGATTATAGGGTCCTGTTGAGCAGGGAGGTCATTTCCCTCTGCCACCATTCTGTTACCAAATCTCTGGTAACAGTGGGCAGAGAGTACAGCACCATCATTTATTTCTCATTTTTCACTCTAATCTTTATTTTCTGTTTTGGGAGCTTTAATTTTTCAACTTTATCTAGGTTTTTAGTTTGAAGATTACATTTTTTATTTCAGATATTTCTTTTCTAAAATGTAGACATTTACAAGCACAAATTTTATTGTAAGCCCTTTTTTATTTTTTGTATGTTGTGTTGCTGTTTTCAATCTCAAAATGTTTCAAATTTTGGTGTCATTTTTATGGCTCACTGGCAGTTTGGGAGTTTGTTGTTTAATTTCCACATAACTGTGAACTACTGAAATATCATTCAGTTAACAATTTTCTGTTTAAATCTATTCTTATCAGAGAACATACATTTTATGGCTTCAATCCTGAAATTTATTGAAGATACTTCATGGCTTTGAAATGGTCTTTTCTGGAGTATGTTTCACGAACTTGAATAGATTGGGTCTTGTGTTGTGAGGTGTTGTGTCTATATATACATATCTGTAAATTCAAGTTGTTTTATAATGTTGTCCAAGACTTCTATACCCTTGTCAGTCTTTTGCCTAGTTGTTCATCGATTACAAAAAGTTGCACTTGTCGTCACTGAATATTAACATAGAACAGTTTGTTTCACCCTTAGTTTCTTCTCTAATTATTTTTAATTGATGTGGGGCTTATTTGTTTGGTGCATGTATACCTATAATTGTTATGGTGTCCTCCTGGCTGACACTTTTGTCATAAATGACCCTCTTTATTCCTAGTAACATTTTTGCTTTAATTTTGTTTGTTTGATATTAGTATGGCCAGCCAGTGTACCTGCTATGGTTATGTTTACATTGTATATCTTTTTCTGCCCATTAATTTTCAACATGTTGGTATCTTCGAATTTAATGTGTTTCTCTTGTGCTCAACATATACTTTTTGTTTTCTTTCTTCT